TCCCCTTTTGAGTTGTTCGCTGCCCTGAGTCCCTCCCGGAGAAGGGCGGCATACAAATAATAAAATTCAATTCAATTCATTTTCCAGTCATGTTTCCTATCAGAGCAAGGAGCAAAATCCAGAATAGCCTGACTGGCTATTGTCAGCATTGTAGACCAGCTGGGGGGGCTTAACCCCCACCCCCTTCCTACCCTTCTCTCTGGATTGTCCAGATCAGTGGCTGATTAGGCTACCCCTCCCCCCTTAAGGGGGGGTCCTCCATGTAGACCAATCTGCAGAGTCTTTTGCCCCTGATCTCTTTGCAATTTCAAGGAAGGAATTCAGGTCAAGCTGCATGGACAGACTCCTGAAAGGCCATTGGATGCAGCTGCTGAGATGGGCCTTGGCAAGGTTTAAAATTTACCGACCTCTCCTAGCAGAATCCGCCATCTTTGAGAATAGCTTGCTAACCAAAGAATGTCTGGAGTTGGATGAGGGAGTAATTTTCTGTCGAATAAAGCAGTAACTAATTAAGGAATCACCGTGCATTTCTTCATCTTCTTTGTTAACACAGTACTTAGAATCCACCCCATCTTCAGGGATCGTGGGCTGTTTGCAACATCAAATGGAGGGGAAACACAACAAAAAAACTCTAGATGAGAATTAGTACAAGAAAACAAAAATCAAAGCCCGGTAAAATTCAAGATAGGTATCATCATCAGCCAAAATTAAAATCAGCTTATTTTATTTATTTTTTCCTTTTTTTCCCTCAGTGCCAAACGCAGCAGAAAATTATCCAATTCTGTTTCCTTTCTAAACACACAGCCTTGGTATAGAATCAATGAAAACTGTTACTTTACAGAACATTGATCTTTAGGTTTGAAGCCCAAATAATCTCTTTTTGTTTCCTTTTCTTTCCAAAAAGAACTTGACAATGGAAGAAGGAGTTACATCCAGTTCCATTTTTATACCTGTCATATGATCTCTTTAGTCAAATCAACACTGGCCTATCTTAAGTAATGGCAGCAGTTCTGCTTTAAATAGGCTTGCATAATCTCTTTCAATGGCACTTTTCTGTTTCTCAATGACAAAAACGTAAATTAAGACAGCCCCTCTTTTGCTTAACCACTTATAAGGAACAAGCATTGTCCTGTTAATAGCATTCAGATTTGATTTTTCTTCTGGGGCTGTATTTATAAACGGCATCATTTCCTCAGTGGCCTCAAAGTGCAGAGATAATTTCTTTGCAAATGTTGGAACGATGAGGAAGATCTGTGGTGCTTTTGATTTAAAACTGTGGTGCTTTTGATTTAAAACGTCACTTTTGCTACTTCCATGGTTTCTCCTGCAATCGCCTCTTTCTTCTCTTGTTTTAAACCTATTGTGATCATTCTGGACACCCTTTAGCAGTGTTCATTAAAATAAAGGCAACTACGTAAATTCATGAACATCGATTCACTTTTTGTGTTGTTCAAGGTGTTGGTTTTAAATACTGCCGAGTAGGAAATGACAGAAAATATGTAGTACCCATTGGCATGGTTTGGAAAAACGTCGTTGCATTTTGTGCCAACCCAGACATAAAGTGTGAATTTAAAGTGGCACGTCTATCGCATTCCAACGTTTGTTTCTACTCTTGGCATCTTTTCCAGGTAATTATCGAAAGATATAAAGGAGAAAAGCAGCTTCCCGTTCTGGACAAAACAAAATTTCTGGTCCCAGATCACGTCAACATGAGTGAGCTTATCAAGATAATCAGGTATTTAACCCGTAATCATTTGCATGCAGATTCACTTTTTGCGAGGCCTAA